GAGACCCTGTCTCAAAAAGACCAAAAAAAAAAAAAAAGGTGTGCACCACCACACCCTGCCACTTTTTTCTTTATTTTATGTGTATGAGTGTATTGCCTGCATGTATGTAAGGGCACACATGTCCTGCAATGCCTGGGGAGGTCAGAAGAGGGCGTTAGATCCCCTGGAACTGGAGTTAAGGACAGCTGTTGGCCCCCATGTGGGTGCTGGGAACAAAACGCAGATCTTCTGCAAGAGCAGTCAGTGCTCTTAACCACTGAGCCAACCCTCCAGCCCCAAATTTTATTTTAAAATGTGTACAACCAAGCTTCAACAATCCTGTGAAATGTGTCTCTGTTCCTACAACGGGAGCTTGCCATTCACTCCCTTTCCAAATTCTCCACCTGTACAAAGTCTTTCAACATAATCATGTTACTTCTTAAAGAAAGTAATGTAGCCCCACCTGGCCTGGAACTTGCTATGTAGACCAGGCTGGCCTTGACAGAGATCCACCTGCCTTTGCCTCCCAAGTGCCAGGATCAAAGGTGTGGGCCACATGCCCCGTTGCTAGTAGACTATTTTTAAATAAAAAAAAAATTAAAACATTTTGGAGTTAAAAAAAAAAATCTGAGCATATGACAAGTTAGTGTCATTGAGGCTAATAAACCTTGTGGATTCGTTTTTACTCAGATAATTCTGGCATTGTGGAAAACAAACGTGTCCATGTTTCTGCCATAACCCGCTCACTACAGGTGTTTCCAGCTCAAACTTTCCCACCCAAATGCGCCTGCACCGCAGACCTCCAAGTCAGGGTCTGCTTGTCCAGCCGCTCCACACCCGGTTCACACACTGCAGCCCCCGTCACTCGGCCACCCTGCCCACCCCTCCCGCCACCCCGGGGCCGCACTCACCCACCGGAGTCCAGGGCATCTCTGCCGTGCGCAGGGCTGAGCCCGCGATGCACTCCGCTGGGACCCGAGGCCACTCCGCTCTCGGGGACCCCAGGATACGGCCACCCCTCCCCGACACCCGCGGGCCCCCGGTCCCCGGCGCGGGCAGATCCCCTAGAGCGGCCGCATCCGACGCCCGGTGCCAGCTAACCGACTGGCTGGGTCCCAGACACACCAGAAGGACAGTCTCCCAAGGCCCCTTCCGGTGCCCGAAGCCCCGCCCCTTGACGTCGCGGGGCCTAAATCCCCCCTTCCCGCTCAGCCCCTGGCCCCCAGGCGCCCCGACACCAGGACATGTGACCCAGACCCTTGGCTCTACAAAAGCACCCCCACTCCAGCCTTGTGGCCCCCGCCTCTGGTAACCTAGGCTACCTGATGCCCCGCCCATCCCCGGACCACACCTCTGTCATGCCAACCTGTCATGCCAACCCTGGGGTGGGACTATAACATCCCAGAAGGTAGGGAAAACCTAAAGGTCTATCACCAGATTCTTATGTGGGGAGGGTCTCTGGGAAGCTGCTAAGCACCCCACCAATTTGTCTAAGGTCAGTCAGGTGATGCAGGGAAGGGCTGAGTCTCCTGGAGCGTGCCTGGAACCCCTGTTAGAGACTTTCAGAATTTATACTCCCATAAATCCAGAGGCCCGAGAGAATCAGATGGCCATCAATATGGATTTCGTAAATCAGGCAGCTCCAGACATAAACCGAAAACTTCAAAAGCTGGAAGCTTTCCAGGAAAAAATCCTTTCTGAGCTGATGGTGGTGGCAAACAAGATATTTAACAATACAGAAACCCTGAAGAAAGACAAACGAAAGGGCTGGCTAGGATACTGTTGGCTGAAAGAGCAACGGATCCTAAATGGGGGGACCAACCCCCTATGAAAAAGGGAACCCGAGCCCCGTGACCCCCACAGGAAGGTCAGCCCCACCTAAAAAGAGACCAGTGTGCATATTGTAAACAGCTGGGCCACTGGGCTAGGGAATGTCCTCAAAGGACGGGATGCCAGCCTCCCTCCAAACACAAGATCCTTGAGTTGGCGAACCTAGAAAACTGAAGGGCCGGGCTCTGCGAGCCTCCACTATGAGCCCTGGGTGACCCTACAAGTGGAGGGACGAGCCGTCAACTTCCTAGTTGACACCGGAGCACAATATTCAGTTTTGAAAGAGCCTATGGGAAAATTGACCAGTAAATGCACCTGGGTGCAAGGGGCCGTGGGAATCGCTCAGCACCCTTGGACTACCAAAAAGGAAGTAAACTTAGGTAAGAAGACAGTTTCACACTCCGCTTTGGTGGTCCCAGAAGGCCCGTATCCCTTATTGGGTAGGGACTTGCTAAATAAAATGAAGGCTCAGATCCATTTCTCTGGGAGAGGACCTCCTGATGTGACTGTACCAGACGCAGCCTATATCCTATGCTTACAGTTAGAAGAATGGAGAGTGCACGCCCCACCCCCTCAAAAGAGACCAACCACTATGCTCAAGGACCTCCAGGCAACAATACCTGGAGTTTGGGAGGAAACTAATCCCCCAGGGAAGGCCATCCAACAGCCACCAATAATGGTGACTTTAAAAACTAATGCTCAGCCTGTAAGAGTCAAACAGTACCCGATGATTCTCGAAGCTAGGGTAGGAATTACCAAACACATAAACTGCCTTAGGGAGTTCAGTATCCTGTTTCCATGCCAATCTCCATGGAACACCCCTCTCCTACCTGTCAAGAAACCAGGGACTAACGATTTCCACCCAGTACAGGATTTGAGAGAAGTTAACAAGAGGGTAGAGGATATCCACCCTACAGTCCACAACCCGTATACCCTGCTGAGCTCACTCTCTCTGGAGCGAAGGGTCTATACTGTTTTAGATCTCAAAGATGCCTTCTTTAGTCTGACCTTGGCAAAGGAAAGTCAACCCATCTTTGCCTTTGAGTGGCAAGACCCAAACCAGGGGTTTAATGGGCAACTCACTTGGATGCGACTGCCACAGGGGTTCAAGAACTCCCCCACAATCTTTGACAAGTCTCTACATCAGGACTTGCAGGAGTATCGGGCCTTGCACCCAGAGGTAAGCCTCCTACAGTATGTAGATGACCTGTTGATTGCCACTGAGGATGAGGGCACTTGTCTTCAGGCCACCAGAAATTTGCTCCTGACCTTGGACCAACTGGGGTATAAGTTCTCTGCGAAGAAGGCTCAGCTCTGTGTCACAGAGGTAATGTACTTGGGGTACCAATTAAGGGATGGGCAGAGGTGGCTGTCACCAGGCAGAAAGCAAGCCATTATGGGAATTCCAAGCCCAAGATCCTGCAGGCAGTTGTGAGAGTTCCTGGGATTGGCAGGCTTGTGCCGGCTCTAGATACCTAGATTCACCAAGCAGGCAAAACCCCTGTATGAAGCCGCTCCAGGGAATGAGTCATCCTTCCTATGGACTGAGACTCAGGAGAAGGCTTTTCAAGAAATTAAGAAGGCTTTATTGCAGGCTCTGGCCTTGGCTGTGCCAGATATCCATAAGCCCTATCAGCTCTTTGTTGTCGAACGAGCGGGAATAGGGAAGGGAGTCCTGACCCAAATGCTCGGGCCATGGAAGAGACCTGTGGCATACTTGTCAAAAAAGCTTGATCCCGTGGCCTCGGGATGGCTGGGCTGCCTCACAATTATCGCACCCATGGCCTTATTGGTTAAGGATGCAGACAAGCTCATCCTGGGACAGCCCCTGATGGTCACCACCCCTCACTCGATTGAGGGGGTCCTTAAAAATCCCCCCAACCGATGGATGACAAATGCTCAGTTGATGCATTATCAGGCCTTGCTCCTTAATCCCCCTCGCATCCAGTCCTTCTCCAGAACCACTCTCAATCCTGCCACTTTGCTGTCAGAACTGGATATTGAGGTCCTGCACAACTGCCTGGAGGTACTCTGCAGCTTACGTGGGATTCCGGAAGACTTGACGGATGTTCCATGGCCCCACCCGGACTAAATTCTGTTCATGGATGGAAGCAGCTTCATTAAGGAAGAAACCAGGTATGCAGGGGTGGTGGTCGTCAGTCCATCAAGGACAGTGTGAGCCTCCTCTCTACCAGACAGGACCTCTGCCCAGAGGGCTGAAATAATTGCCCTGACTTAGGCTCTAGAGCTAAGTAAAGACCAGACTGTTAACATTTTCACTGATAGCTGTTTCACTTTCACTACGGTGCATGTCCACGGAGCTGTATACAAAGAGAGGGGGCTCCTGAGAGCAGAAGAAAAGACGATCAAAAATAAACAAAAGACCTTAAAACTCCTGGAGGCCATATGGTTACCAAAGAGACTGGCCATCATCCATTGTCCTGGGCACCAAAAAGGGGATTCCCTGAAGGCACAGGGAAACAGGAGAGCGGACCTAGCAGCCAGAGAAGCAGCCCTAACAGCCTCGAACCTACTAGTTATCCTGCCTGAACCCCTCATGCCAGAAGAGCCCTCCTACTCAGCTCAGGACGATCAGGATTTAACTTCCCTGGAAAATACCAAGATCAAGCATGGATGGAGATATGCCTCTGATGGGAGGCTCATTCTGCCGCATAAGCTGGCAGAGGACTTAATACATAAATATGCCCCCAGCCAGAAGGGAGAGGGGCACTGTGCCTGGAGTCCATTGGGAGGTGGACTTCACTGAGGTAAAACCTGGCAGGTATGGCTATAAATATCTCCTAGTTTTTGTAGATACATTTTCAGGATGGGTCGAAGCATTTCCCACAAAGGGGGAAACTGCCTCAACAGTGGTTAAAAAGATCATCAAACTAATACCAAGGTATGGACTCCCCTCTGTGATCAGGTCAGACAATGGACCAGCCTTCATCTCTAAGATAACTCGAGTTAATTAAAACACTGGGGACTAATTGGAAGTTACATTGCGCATGCCACCCCCAGAGCTCAGGGCAAGTAGAGAGAATGACCCTAGAAACTGGCGATGACTAGACAGGCCTCCTACCTTTTGCCCTATACAGGGTCAGAAATACCCCATATCCTCAAGGCCTAACACCTTATGAAATCATGTGTTTCCAACCACCCCCTTTGCTTCCCAAGCTGCCTTCAGATGTGCTGATTGACTTGTCTGAATCCCAATTTCTTAAGTCCCTACAGGCCTTACAGATTGCACAAGACAACGTTTTCCCCTTGGTGAGGCACATCTAGGAACTGTCACTGGCCTGACCACATGGATTCAAGCCAGGAGACCTTGTTTGGGTGAGACGGCACCACAAGGAGCCCCTTGGACCTCAATGGAAGGGGCCACACATCATGATCCTCACCACCACCACTGCAGTTAAGGTGGCCGGTGTCCAGACCTAATCAGAAGGTTGGTCAGAACAAGTTGACAAGAGATGGAAAGTCACACAGGTAAAAGACAATCCTCTAAAGCTAAAAATCTCTGCCACACCATAACCCTTATTGCTTTTTTTTATTTCTTTTTATAGAGCTTGCCCTAGCTAAGTACCGCCATGGACTCCAAAATGTCTCCTGGGTAGTTAGTAGCACATCCACTGGAAAGATAGTGAACATCTCCTCCCACCTGGGACCTCCAGGCGCTTGGTTCCCCAAGATTACATTTAACCTCTGCGACCTGCTTGAAGGAGCTTGGGAATCGTACACCCCATCAGGCACTGTAAATTATGCTTGCCAGTCTCTCCTAGGCTGAAAGAGGATGAAGGAGCACCACTTCTATGTTTGCCCGGGTAATAATGGTGATTGAAGAAGTACCTGTTGGGGGGGGTGGCAGGGGACTATTTCTGTGCTTCATGGAGCTTTGTGTCTACTGGATATATTAATTGGGCTAACACCATCACTACTGACTTGATACAGGTAACTGTGGTCCCGGGCCTAACCCTTTGGAGAAACCCCAGATCAAGGTAGTTTGAGGGACCCTGTTCCTCCTCTAGATGCAGCCCTATCTCCTTGAGCTTCACCCCAAAAGGAAAGGAACTTAAAAACCTACAAAAATGGATTGATGGGCGAACTTGGGGCCTCAGGTTATACACCACAGGGACTGATCCAGGAATACTTTTTTTAGTCCGTCTTCAGGTGGGTCTAGTCTTGGGGAACC